CAGTTGACCTCGCTTCACAATCATGCAAAGGCAACTGTCAGTCTCACTTTCACTTTCTCACTCAGTCACACTCTCAGGCCTGGCCGGACGCAGAAAACAGTAGCCCTGGCTTCACCAGCGGCCACTGTTGCCTGAGACAGCAACTTTGGGTTCTGTACAAGATAAAAGCCTCATTCTGGTGAACTCTGTCTTTTACCTACAACCTGGGATTCGACCTGGTGATTGTAGTGATTCGAGTTTAATCACTGCATAGGCGCTTAAGCCTAATGCAATCCAGCAAATAACGCTATTCAATCTGGGTAAACTAATGTACTTGTGGACACAACCGTGTGTTACGTGCTGGCCTCGAAGACGCAGTTTTGTATGATGCAGAAAATAGTATTTCAGCGGTACATCTTGTCTTTTGATCCCGATTTTATGCACATCTTTATCCATACCTGCACTTACGAATGTCAGCGCGTAGAACGTTGGCTATCTTGATAAGAAGGAAGTCATTTACGAGATCCAATGCGATGGTAAAATCTGCATACATTGGCCGTTAAGAGGCGAAACCATCTTTCTCAAGTGATCACGCATACCCTGGGTATCGAACACACCGTCGCCTCGGACAAAACTCGCATAGTCAGCCGCGAGTTTTTAGAAGTCATGCACTCCGGTGGATCATGTACCAATCTGCATACTGAGTTAGATGCGATCTACAAAAATCGCAGGGAGCTTGAAAGAGAGGGGGGTACGAATGAAGTTATAGTCTCCTGAACGGGATAGATGAATAGGAATCACCCAAAGTACATGTGGTTTTGGGCCAACTTCCGGGAGAATAATTTTTTTGCGGAAGTTTAGGGTCAGTTTAAGGTTGGTGTTAAGGTCAGAGTTGAGGATAGGGCCTGGATTATGTTAAGAGTTCGAATTTGTGTTCCTATTAATTGTAGGGTGAAAATTAGGGTGACGGTTTTGTTTTCTGTCAGGGTTAGTGTTGCAGTTAAGACACTGGGATATTTACTCTTCCTGAAGTTTATCACAATGCCACGTATTTTAAGTGGGCAGTGCGTTAGTGTGTCCTATTTAGGTGACCATACGATAAAAGAACCACTCAATACAGAATGACAAACACGATGGTTTCTTACTGGCGCAAGCGCAGAGCGAGCGTTCATTTTTTAAGCACGTTTCAAACGGCAGCTCGTTCTGGCATGTTGATTCCGCGTCTAACGAAAAACTGAAGGTGCACCCAATTAAGTTTCCCGCCTTTACCTGAAGAACGTATTTGGCCTCAGCCTACATTTCTTGGGATACCTA